AAGATTGGTTGTGACCTTTGAATCAAAGGTCGAGGTCATTAAAAATCACCACCTCTTTACCTTCTTCTAGTATCCTGCGAACCGAAAGAAACACTGAAAGGTATTTCTAGATATATGTACTTCATTTTCTTTTTACCCTTGGTTCAAGGTCAAAGGTTAAAGTCGATTTCAAGTTCAAAGGTCAAGGTAATTTTGGTATAATAGCTAATATCAGACATTTTATTAATGTTACCAATGACCTTGACCTAAGTTTCAAGGTCAATGGTCAAAAGATCTACTTCAGTATGTTACATGTCTTGACATTAAGAAGTTTCTTAGTTCTTCATGCACATCAGAAACTCAAGTATACTGGTCTTTTAGCACACTGAGTGTACGCGCATGTGAATGCACGTCCTTGTGTTCAATTTTGATAATAGCATCATGTAGGCATTCATTATATCTATTCATATTCGAAATTTCATCCAATTATCTTATTGAGAACCAAGAAAGTTTTAGGCATTTACAGTTTTAGCCAATCAGATTGCAGCACACGTGCATGTGCGTGCGTTCATGATTATTCTTATATATGTAGATCTTCATAATGTTTGACTATGTTAAAAATTTCAAAGGATTTTGTCAAAAAACAAGAAAGATATAAAAGACTTTAGTTTTAACCAATCGGAGCGGAGAGCACGTGCGTGTGCGTGAGATCTTGCTATTTTGACCATGTCATCTTTTCTATACTACTAATATATCCTTATATTATGAGTTTCAAAGCATTTCATCAACAATTAAAAGAGTCACGGCTATATCAGTTATAATGGCCATTTCACGTGTTGCACGTTCGTGCACACGCCCGCACGTTCACGCAAAATGACCTTCGTTCCGCACATTTACATAATATTCCTAGTGACCCTAAAAAATTTCATCTAGATCGGATGAGTAGTTTAAGAGAACACTCGTAGACAAAAAAGTACCAGGAAGAAAAAAAATCGGAAGAAAGTAAAAATAATACGTTCCCAAACTTCGTTTGGGGAACATAATCATTGGATGAAAAAGAAACGGGATATCGGCGACACTCAAGTGGGTCTCGCGAAGATTCTACTCTACATGTTTGCTGATATATTCAATCATTTCTCGTATCTCCATGGTTTTCAAAGAAATAAAATCGGTGTTAACTCAACGTAAAATGCACATATGACATAAAAAAACTATTGCCATGTTAAGTTCAAATTGTCTTGGAACTGCTTAAAAATATTTTGTTTGACATTTTTCTGCGACAGCATATGATTTGGTGAATTTTCCTTTCTTGGATCCCGACATACAAAACGTCAAAATTTGTAATTAATTCTGTTTAATTCGTCTGAATGTTAACGATTATTTATTTATCGAAGAGTAATATTTTGCTTTTGAGAATTCCTCATATTGCATTATAAGTGTAAACCCTACTGTGTAGGCACGTGCTATTTAAGTATTTACGTGGTACAAGAAAACATCAGATCTAAGTAGTGTGACCCTTGATTTTCCGGCATATTCTAATTACGTTAAGTTTCTTTGAGGAGAGAATAATTATGTTTTCCAAACTGCACATTTTATCTTTTTACCTTATTCCTTAATGATACATTGGGTAAATTTGAATGAAAAAGCACACGATATGCAGCTGTACAGTCGCTCTCCGCAATTTAGTCAACATACATACCTCGCATGTTACATTTGCAACATAAATACGGTGCATATCAGAACAAATATATATAAATAAGTTGCATCTTGCATGATAATTTGGATAATTTACAAAATTCATAATTGCTTACATTTATCCTGCATGTCAACATTTTTTGTTGCATGTTGCATGTCGAGTTAAACAAATAAACAAGAGGCCCATGGGCCACATCGCTCACCTGAGAAGCTTTGACCATTCTGTTCTTTACCAGATTCCCCCTTTTAATACATATTGTTACCTCACCCTACCCCACTGATAATAATTTAGACATTTTGAAATCCACACTACCCCAGGATGCTTCCAAGTCCACAAAAGTTTCAGCTTTTCTGGCCCAGTGGTTCTTGAGAAGAAGATTTTTTCAAAGATTTTCCTATATATTTCTATGTTAACTTTGATTCCCCATTGTGGCCCCGCCCTACCCTCGGGGGTCATGATTTGAACAATTTAAAATTTACACTACCCCAGGATGCTTCCATATAATTTTAAGTTTTTCCGGCCCAGTGGTTGATGAGAAGAAGATTTTCAAAGATTTTTCCTATATATTTCTATGCAAAAATTTGATTCCCCATTGTGGCCCCGCTCTACCCCCGGGGGTCATGATTTGTACAATTTAAAATCTACACTACCCCAGGATGCTTCCATATAAGTTTCAGCTTTTCTGGCCCAGTGGTTCTTGAGAAGAAGACTTTCAAAGATTTTTCCTATATATTTCTATGTAAAACTTTGATTCCCCATTGTGGCCCCGCCCTACCCCCGGGGGTCATGATTTGTGAAATTTAGACTCTACACTAACCCAGGATGCTTCCACGTAAGTTTCAGCTTTTCTGGCCCAGTGGTTCTTGAGAAGAAGATTTTCAAAGATTTTTCCTATATATTTCTATGTAAAACTTTGATTCCCCATTGTGGCCCTGCCCTACCACCGGGGGTCATGATTTATACAATTTAGACTCTACACTAACCCAGGATGCATCCACATAAGTTTCAGCTTTTCTGGCCCAGTGGTTCTTGAGAAAAAGATTTTCAAAGATTTTTCCCATACATTTTTGTAAAACTTTGATTCCCCATTGTGGCCCCGCCCTGCCACCTGGGGTCATGATTTGTACAATTTAGAATCTACACTACCCCAGAATGTTTCAACATAAGTTTCAGCTTTTCTGGCCCAGTGGTTCTTGAGGAGAAGATTTTCAAAGATTTTTCCTATATATTTCTATGTAAAACTTTGATTCCCCATTGTGGCCCCGCCCTACCTCCTGGGGTCATGATTTGAACAATTTAGAATTTACACTACCCTAGGATGCTTCCACATAAGTTTCAGCTTTTCTGGACTAGTGATTCTTGAGAAGAAGATTTTTTTAATGACCCCACCTTATTTTTGTCTTTTCTTGATTATCTCCCCTTGTGAGGGGACTTGGCTCTTTATTTTAACAATTAAAATTTACCTTCACCCAAAGATGCTTTGTACTAAGTTTGATCAAAATTGGCCCGGTGGTTCTTGAGAAGAAGTCGAAAATGTGAAAAGTTTAAAGACGGACAGACAGACGGACAGCTAGACAGACAGCTGGACGGACGGACGGACGACGGACAAAATGTGATCAGAAAAGCTCACTTGAGCCTTCGGCTCAGGTGAGCTAACAAGTTTCAAGCAAAAGTAGGAGAAAAAAGGGTTAAATCCCATAGATAAACAAATAAATATATATATCAGACATCAACACCAATGTTACTAGAATCACCTGGACAAATCTTTGTCGAGGTCAAGATGTGAAAAATTAAGGTGGATGATGAACTCTGTATAAAACCAAATGATATATTGAAAAAAATTCTCGTGGAATTTTAGAAATTCTGCTTAAAAAAAGGATAACAAAGCTTTCCTAAATTATCACAAAACTAAGTTGGAAAACAGTAATTTAAAGACAGTAAACATTTTAAAATTAGAAATTTTCATCTCGACACAAGTAATAACGAATACAAATTTTTGGTATGAACAAAAATTTAAGTTTCAAAGTGCGCAGCGTAATTATGAAATTTTGCATCAATATTGATCTGAACTTTAGATATAGAGGAAATGCTGATTCGGATATCGAAACACTACTTGTCTTGATTACATATTCATAATTTTTAATTTCGTTTGAATAATATATGATATCTAAAGGTAATGCATACCCTGTAAACTTCACTCTTCCTTTTTTTTGAAATGAATTTTTGTTAAGTTTCAATAAATAGGTTAGGCGTCAAACCCTTATATTTACTCAAGCCCTAAAACGACACTAGGTCATCGATTTACTCAGTTTAAATACACGAAAAGATATTATTTTTGTAGATTAAAATATTTCTAGAAACAAAAATGAAGCTCATCTTGAAAAAGACTGTATAATTCAAAGATATTAAGCCTTAAATGTCGAATTCTTAAATGTCTATTCTATGGCGAATGAACAATGACCAGTTTCCCTCTTGACCAACCATAGATTTGTTTACAGTTTTTTCGACCAATCAGATTTCGTGTTTCAAAGCATGTTTCGGTGCGAGTGTAAACATGTCAGACGCCAGTACCAAGGAGATTAACGCTTTTGAAAGTAAATGGTTGAGTATTGATTGTTTAATAATATTGTTTTCCATTTTAACTACTAATTGTTAAGCTGTTGAAGTATAACAACATGTAAAAAGTGTTGTTACACTTTGCATTTTTATTATGAGTGTTTATATTTGATGGAGACAAGAATGAAAGTGTCAAAAGTGATGTAAAATTCCGGATCATTTAATAATACGGTTATTGACTTTTGGATTCGGTCTACTTGTGACTACACGGACCTGCTCAGGTATTGGTTAACCTTGGCCTTCGGCCTCGGTAAACCAATACCTGACCAGGTCCCAATAGTCAAGAGTAGACCTCATCAAAATTCAATAATTGTATTTTATTCCGCTCCTAAATATATAAGTTAAATATTGTAAAGGTTAAGATTTATATCGGACAGTCAGTCGTACTCACATGGAACCTCATCATTGAAAGATAAATACCAAATTAGAATAAATTTACCTGGTATTTTTTCCTTGGTCGAGGTAGCAAAGAAACTTGGACGAACACGCGCATTGATAAAGTTTTTTTCTACATCGATCAGGAAAATTATTCTAAGATTTAATTTTTAATTAAAACATTATACTTTCATCTTTTTTAAATTTCTTAATCGCACAATTTTATCTCCTGTCAATTGATGTGTAAAATGCACATTGTAGTACAAGTCTCATGAAAGCCATGACGAGTGACCAGAAATATATACATATATACATGTAACTAATAAAGACATACCTGACGTGAGAAACCACTTGTCTGACTTTGAAACTGAATGTGGACATAAACCTACAAGACAGATCACTAAATATTAGTGCATGTTTATGTATTTTATTTCATTCTATTAATTTATATAGTTTATCAGACTTCATAAAACAAGAGGCCAAAGGGCCTTAATAATACAACAACTTAGAGGAATCCATAGAGTATAAAATAAACTGATAGATGAAGCTTTCCTAAAAGCAAGCATAGTCGGTTTAAGAGCTCTACAGAGCTCATGTTATTTGTTAATCACTGTACAAACTGCCGACTTAAAATAAAACTTACTTATTACTTAAGAGAAATAGGATGATTAGGATCAATGAAATTAATTAATTAGTCTAAAATTTAGCTACAACTCGTAAATAAAGTTTCAATATGTCCCTCATTTATCACTTTCACCAAGACTATAAAGGTATTCCATATATACCTAACATTGTTGACGAACGAAATTACCAAACTATTTATCCTTCTGTACCATTTTTTATCCTAACATATAATAACTCACATTGCCCCATATTGGACTGTGAAGATAAATTAAATACGTTATTTTTAACCTCATTTTTATTTATCTATTACTTAGAAGTCTATCTGATCATTAAAACTATGAAAGTAGTTTTTGTATTATACGATAAAATTTCTTGCATAATTTTCTTATTCTATTAACCTTTCAAATACATTTTTACAGTGATTAATTATCAAAAGTGAATTACAAATAAGAATAATTTCTCTCAGTAAAGTACAACTTTATAGAGCCCTGACCAGGACCAGAACACTTCATTCAATGGTCCAGATGGTTTTAAAATATCTGGTAAAAATATCCTTGCTTATTAAAACATTTACTTTGTTTGCGTTTGATATGCCAATTAAAGAGGAGAGAATATTTTCAAAGAAATAATGCATTTCACTACAGATTCAACACAGCCCTACCTAACACCAAAACTCATGATCCAAGGTCATGAATTCACAGATCTGGAAGAAGTTCTTTCATCATCATAACTCTGCACTAAGGTCTGCATTTAGTTGAAGATAGCACATTTTCACTTTATTATCAATAGACCCCCAAAATGAGATACAAAAGCCCCTCACCCTAGGACCACAAAAAAATTGTAAGCACACCTATTCATAATAATTCTACACTTTGTTTATCTGTTTAACACTAAGGATTAGAAAGCCCTGCCCTAACACTAAAACCCCTTACCCTAGGGGGATGGAATTCACGATTTTTGAAGAGACACTTTTATTCATCATTATTTTATACTTAGTTTGTTTATAACCCAAGAACAGAGAACAAAATTTTCTTAGAATTAATGTAATGCACTTTACAGTCAATAGAGACCCCCCCCCCCCCTCTACTACAACAAAACCCCTGAACGAGGTGCCATGAAATTCAAAATTTTGGAAGAGGCACTCTTGCTCATCACATTTATATACTAAGTTAGTTTAATATCGAAGAGCAGAGAAAAAGATTTTGAAAGAATTAATGTATTTTTACAACATGATTAATAGTGCCCATCGGAACCCCTGATCCTGGGACCATAAAATTCAAATTTTTGGAAGAGACACTCTTGGTCATCATAACTGTGTACTTAGTTTGTTTAATTCCCAGGAGCAGAAAAGAAGATTTTCAGAGAAATAATGCACTTTCGCTATATTATCCATACAGTCCCGCCCTAACACCAGACGCCTGACCCTGGGGCCATGAATTTCACAATTTTGGTAGAGAGGCTCACTGCTCTTTACAATCATGCCAACAGTCTGACTGCTTGATGTCTATGAGTGAGGAAGAAGAATTTTAACGATTGCATTAATTTTAGTGGTTTTAGCCGCACTCCAAAGGGGGTAGGGACCATGAAATCCACACTTTTATTTCCCTTCACCCATAGATGCTGTATACCAAATTTAGCTAATATTGGTTCTGCGGTTCCTGAGAAGAAGATGAAAATGTTCAAAAGTTTATGACTGATTGACAACAGACGAAAACAGACAGCAATAGGTCACCTGAGTGATTCAGGTGACCTTAAATAAATACTAGTTTACCATGTATCTCTGACATCAACAAAGAAACTGAATTCATGCAATGAAATATGTGTAATATTTACCATTTTTGTGAAGGGAATATTGTTGAACAAAGTGATTTTGATGACAGCACTGTTTCCAGCAATAACAATGGATGGATTCTTTAACTCAATAAAGAATGGTAAGAAAACTGGTATCTAATTTTTAGGAAGAGAAAGGAATTACCTGCAATATCTCACCTCTGTTATTATACAACATCAATTTTCGATATCATATAATTTTTTATTGCTAATTTTCTTTTCCCAAAACTTAAAATATTTGAACCTTCAATTTTTCATTGTCATCGAGAATTCCAAAACCGTCAGCGTCACCAACACCAAAAGCCGATGTAATCCATGTTGTCATGGTGCCAGGTAGCTTTTTAGTGAGTGTTACAATTGAACGACCCCTGTAAGGCATGGAATTATCAATATATATTATATATTTTAAAATTATGATTTCCCACTTTGTATGACTAAGTAATAGCAATGATTTACATTTATATTACAGTGACATATCGAGGACTTTACCTCAAGTGCACATCCTCCCAAATCCAAGTCTTTGGAAAATATAATCTTTTGTTTGTAGCATCTGGGATTTTGCTAATTATCGGTTTAAAGTTGGCAGGAATCGACCCAGGATTGGCCTTTGGCTTACTTCCTGGAAAAATCCCAGTTATCGACGTCGGTGGATTTCCACCTCGGCAATTTTTACAAGGAAGTGGAACTAAAGGGAATGGCTGCTTCGATTCCTCCATAAAAAAAATTCTAAAGCGCCGATTACACAATTCTCCACTATAAATGCCCTTACATTTGCACGTGAAATCAATATCAGATTTTATTATGCATTTTCCGTCATTTTGGCACGGGGAGCTCGAACAAGGATCTACAAATAAAAACAAAATATATTTTTTTGATTAAACTTCAATATTAACATTTCCAATAAATTTCCAATATGATTCCTTACAAAATAAATGCAGTTTATTTTCTCATGAACTACATTTCTCATGTACCACAAATACATCAGTATCTCAATAGTTACGTCATAATATCGGACTTGACGTCAAAAAATATAGTGCACATTATTCCCGAGGGGAATCTGTTAAAATGTTTCTTATATATTTACATTTGCAAATGTTTTCCTTTATATAACACTACTGAAGGCAAGCGTTTTTATAACTGTATAAATAAAGGTATGGGGTCAAGAGGTCATAGATGTGCGTTTGGATAAACGTTCGACGTAATTTCTCTGTGACGTCATAAAGGGTCGACGCGCGTTTAGTGGATTACATACATGCCGTTGGGTTTGAAAAATTAACGCATTTCACACGTTAAGGTCAAGATCTAGTAAATGAAGGGTGCCTACAGATTTATCAAACTTGAGAAATAAATACCTTCATTGATGCTTTACAACTTTAGCTTGGTCAAATAAGGTGTTTCGGGGCATAATTTGCAGGTAAACAAGATGAAAAACTGTATTTTAAACTGACATAATCAATGAAAAATTAAGAAAACCAGTCATGAATTTGGGAGTTTTTTTCATATTCGACAAAGGAAATATATCCAGATTGCCTAAAGTCTCTCGGAAAACGGTAATTAATATGTTCATGGCCTCCTCTTTAACTCAATTTCAAATTTAATATAGGTATCCGGTTTATTTTTCATATGATTTCAAATTGAATGTCATGAAACACCATATTTTCTACATAATTCTGCTAAAGCCGTAAAGTGCGGGAAAAAGAAAGTTGATATTGATTATGACGTCATAATGGATCTAGCACCAAAAAATTAGACTAAAGTTATTTACTAGATCTTGACCTTAAGAGTAACAATCAGGCAAATATAAAGTATGAATAAGTCACAAATGTAAATGTAAGTCATAATATAAGGTATCATTTTTTGAGTGTTATTGAGATGTAAAACAGGTTGGCACATGATCAAATCTTCCATAAAGCCCTTCGGGCTTTATGGGATTTGATCACGTGACCAACCCGTTTTACATCTCAATAACACTCAAAAAATGATACCTTATTTCTTAAATAAAGTTCAGAAGGTAAAAAAACTATCCTTTATAGTCCACGCATTGCAAAGCTATACCCCAGGGTATAGTTTTTGCTATCCACTCTCGGAAAATTTTCATGCAATTGCTGCCGCTAATTTTGATTTCCAGCGATAAATCTTTACCCGAAAATTTCAAATCTCAGAAATTATATTATACATCAGTATAATAAAACGCTTATCCTCGGGCAAGCCCTTGGGGAATAGTTCTCTGTCGCAGGTTTGATAAAAGAGCTATCCCACGCACACCCAGTGGATAAGTGTAAACTGTTTTGCTTTAAAAATGACAGTTGAATGGCGTAAATTTATGACAAGTCATCATTAACTTGAAGTTAATTTAACGATCGTTCGTGCAACCGAATCCAGAAAAGTAATGTAAATATAAGAAATGAATTTAATTCTTGAAGATTCATGAGGTATATGAACTACAGAATTCACGCCGGCATAACGCGCTTCATGAAATATGCCAGTGTGAAGCGGGCAATCAGAAGTTGGACAGTTATTCGCTATTCGCTATTCGCCATTCGAATGGCGAACCGCAGGCTGTCTGCCGTTCGCTATTCAAATTACCGTAAATGTCCTAATAATTTTTTTTTTCAAAAAACCTTAATAACGCATTATAATCCGTGTTTAAGAAGAAAAACAAAGACATCACTTAAAGAAGAAGAGTGAGGACCCCAAACCAATGCAGCTAGCCTGATCAAAATGATGAATATTTAGCTAGCCCGGTCAAAATTGGAAAAAAAGTATTTGTACATAAGAGTAAATTACCCGGGGTCAGGATAACATCCAAGATCCCATATTTAGACTCTTATATTTTTACAAGGGAGGAATATGGGAGAGCCCTTTCAAACCTCAAAAGAAATTTATATTACAAGACCGGACACCTATTTAGCTAGCCCGATCAAAATTGGAAAAAAAGTAAAATACTATAATTATAAGAGTACATTGCCCAGGGGGCTGGATAACATCGTGGATCCCACATTTAGATCTTCATATTTTAACAGGGGAAAGGTATGGGAGGGACCCTTTCACTTTCAAAAGGAATTTATGTTACAAGACCGGGAACCTATTTAGCTAGCCCGGTCAAAATTGGGAAAAAACGTATAATGCTTTAATAAGTAAAGGACATTGCCCGGGGGGCTGGATAACATCGTGGATCCCATATTTAGATCTTCATATATTTACAGGGGAGGGGTATGGGAGGGACCCTTCCACTGTCAAAAGGAATTTATGTTACAAGACCGGGAACCCATTTGGCTAGCCCGGTCAAAATTGGGAAAAAACGTTTAATGCTTTAATAAGTAGAGGACACTGCGCGGGGGGCTGGATAACAGCGTGGATCCCATATTTAGACCTTCATATTTTTACAGGGGAGGGGTATGGGAGGAACCCTTCCACTGTTAAAAGGAATTTATGTTACAAGACCTGGAACCCATTTAGCTAGCCCGGAGAAAATTGGAAAAAAAACGTATAATTCTATTAAATGTATTTCTGAATAAGAGTACATTGCCCTGGGGTCAGGCTAACATCGAAGATTCCATATTTAGACCTTCATATTTTTACAGGGGAGGGGTATGGGAGGATACCTTCCACTGTTAAAAGGAATTTATGTTACAAGACCTGGAACCCATTTAGCTAGCCCGGAGAAAATTGGAAAAAAAAACCGTATAATTCTATTATATGTATTTCTGAATAAGAGTACATTGCCCTGGGGTCTGGCTAACATCGAAGATCCCATATTTAGACCTTCATATTTTTACAGGGGAGGGGTATGGGAGGAACCCTTCCAGTGTTAAAAGGTATTTATGTTACAAGACAGGGAACTCATTTAGCTAGCCCGGAGAAAATTGGAAAAAAAAACGTATAATTCTATTATATGTATTTCTGAATTAGAGTACATTGCCCTGGGGTCTGGCTAACATCGAAGATCCCATATTTAGACCTTCATATTTTTACAGGGGAGGGGTATGGGAGGAACCCTTTCACTGTTAAAAGGAATTTATGTTGCAAGACCTGGAACCCATTTAGCTAGCCCGGAGAAAATTGGAAAAAAAACCGTATAATTCTATTATATGTATTTCTGAATAAGAGTACATTGCCCTGGGGTCTGGCTAACATCGAAGATCCCATATTTAGACCTTCATATTTTTACAGGGGAGGGGTATGGGAGGAACCCTTCCACTGTTAAAAGGAATTTATGTTACAAGACCTGGAACCCATTTAGCTAGCCCGGAGAAAATTGGAAAAAAAAACCGTATAATTCTATTATATGTATTTCTGAATTAGAGTACATTGCCCTGGGGTCAGGCTAACATCGAAGATCCCATATTTAGACCTTCATATTTTTACAGGGGAAGGGTATGGGAGGAACCCTTCCACTGTTAAAAGGAATTTATGTTACAAGACCTGGAACCCATTTAGCTAGCCCGGAGAAAATTGGAAAAAAAACCGTATAATTCTATTATATGTATTTCTGAATAAGAGTACATTGCCCTGGGGTCTGGCTAACATCGAAGATCCCATATTTAGACCTTCATATTTTTACAGGGGAGGGGTATGGGAGGAACCCTTCCACTGTTAAAAGGAATTTATGTTACAAGACCTGGAACCCATTTAGCTAGCCCGGAGAAAATTTGGAAAAAAACCGTATAATTCTATTATATGTATTTCTGAATGAGAGTACATTGCCCTGGAGTCTGGCTTACATCGAAGATCCCATATTTAGAACTTCATATTTTTACAGGGGAGGGGTATGGGAGGGACCCTTCCACTGTTAAAAGGAATTTATGTTACAAGACCGGGAACCTATTTAGCTAGCCCGGAGAAAATTTGAAAAAAACGTATAATTCTATTATATGTATTTCTGAATAAGAGTACATTGCCCTGGGGTCTGGCTAACATCGAAGATCCCATATTTAGACCTTCATATTTTTACAGGGGAGGGGTATTGGAGGAACCCGTCCACTGTTAAAAGGAATTTATGTTACAAGACCGGGAACTCATTTAGCTAGCCTGGATGAAATGGGAAAAAAGCCTAATAATTCTATTATATGTATTTCTGAATAAGAGTACATTGCACCGGGGGCTAGCTAACATCCAAGATCCCATATTTAGACCTTCATATTTTTACAGGGGAGGGGTATGGGAGGAAGCCTTCCACTGTTAAAAGGAATTTATGTTACAAGACCGGGAACCCATTTAGCTAGCCCGGAGAAAATTGGAAAAAAAACGTATAATTCTATTATATGTATTTTTGAATAAGAGTACATTGCCCTGGGGTCTGGCTAACATCGAAGATCCCATATTTAGACCTTCATATTTTTACAGGGGAGGGGTATTGGAGGGAACTTTCGACTTTCAAAAGGTATTTATGTTTCAAGACCGGGAACCTTTTTGTAAATTAGCTTGCCCGGATAAAATTGGAAGAAATACGTCAATGAGATTTTAGAACGCAGTTTGCACTTTGAGGGTGGGGTATAGGGTTCAGGTACGACTTCTGTGAAATATTGGTGATGGAACTATCTCTAGTTTCCAAGATAGAGCCCTCAAGTTTTCAGCCCTACTATACTATACGAATGTAATAATTTGGGCTGTGGATATCGGCTTGAATAGCTTAGTTGGTAGAGCACCTGACTGGAGATGCATGGGTCCCGGGTTCGATTCCCGGTTCAGCCATACATTTTCTCCTTTCCTGTTA